TCATCCAGAGGTGCGCTACAGAGGGTTTTGTGATAACTTTTCCGCCCATATTTTCTACGACACTGATGAAATTTCAATTATTTCCAATTTCTCGAATTGATTGTTGAAATATGTTGAAAAAATGCATCATCTTCAACTGAGAACAGTTATCGAGATATTTGACCCAAAATAGAAGTTTACTTAGTAATTTTTCATCTTCCTCAGTAGTAGAGAAAATTACAAAAATGTTTGTTTTATCTTTATGCGTGGATTAACTATTTCTGTTCAGCTATAGAATGAAATCTGAATAGTATCTAATACTTATATAATATATTTCTGCAATTTTCTACTACTGAAAATGATGAAATATTACTATGCAATCTTCTATTTTGGGTCGAATATCTCGAAAACTGCAATCAGTGGCGTGGAAAATATGAGAGGAAAAGTTGCCACAACCCCCTGTAGGGCACCACTGGATGAAATGTCCGGAATGGCTTCCTGGTCAAAAAATGACCCATTCAAAGATGAAACCATATACCAACGTTGAAAGCATTATATTCAATTTTTCTTGAGATATTGCGAAAAAACTATTTTAATTTCTCAACTTATTTAACGTCCTGTATCTCGAGAACTGAACACTTGAAGACCGTATGTCCCTATCTCAGAGTGATTATGAAATCACGAGCGCTATCACCTGTCAAGCGTTGTCGGTCGAATTTCGAAACACCCTGTATATATCCAATTTTATGTTCATTCACATTAGGAATTTCCTTTCGTGCGTTCCAAGAGAGAAAAATTGAGCGATATATTATGCTCGTTGGTAGAGGGAAATATAATTATTACGTATGATGCATCAGAATGGTATATACTTTTCAAAATATTATCAATTGATTTGTCCCATTTTATCGCTTGCCAAGAGAAACGAGTCGGGTCATTGGATATGTTTTATATTTACATTTCAAGTTTATTATTTCTATTAATGTGTTTTTAGTAGGTTAAATCGAACATTTATCCACTTGTGTCTCGGCTCTCAATATAAAACACGTGTATAGGAATTTTTTTTCCTTAGTTTGCTCGTCACGTTTTGTTCAAATTGACATCATGGTACTATGACACAAAGAAATACCATTTCTTCATGCTCCACGTCTCTAAAAATGTAGCTACTATTTTTATTTGTTATTGCTTTTCGAATGAGGACGCCATGCACATAACTTTCGTGAAGAATATATATATTATCCACAAATTCCTACATTTTCAGGATACAGGATATTTTCTGCGTTTTACAATGTAGAATATTTACTTCTATTATTTCAAGTTGACCCTCCATATTGAACGTTACAGGGGTTTAAAGCCTGATCAAATCCGAATTCAACTGAAACTACTGAATCTGCTGATTTTTCATTACAAAACAAACAAAAAAAATAACTGAAAGTGACAGATACTTATGAGCAGACATAATATACTATGTTCATTCCAAATATTTCGACTCACCATTCTGATGAAATTGCTGACTATCGAAAGGTGGTGTGGCTTCAGTGAATTATCATTATTTCAGAGGGGGAAGGGATGTCCTTGTTTTTAAAACATTAATTAGGCTATATTCCGAATTCAACTGGACAGTACTGTATCTTGGTACTGTCAGTATAAATCCACTGACTGCTAAAAATCTGTGTTCCTAAATATAAAATCAAAAATTATTGTGCTGTAATCCGGAACACGTTTCCATGGTTTTCAAATCTATGGTTTTCATCAGTACTAATCAGCAGCAGTTGATCAGCTCATGAAATTTGATAATTATTCTAAGCGTCAATTATTCTAATAACAGGCATATTCTGCTATTATATATTATGATATTATTGATTTATTATTGATGAGACAAGACTTTGATGTTTGAAAAACAAGGAAATGCCTTCCCCTCTGAAATAATGAGAAGGGAGAACTATTATGCCATTATTGTTGAACAATGAGGTGTAGGTAAGCGTTCTGGTCGAAACAAAACACAATCGGTGATTTCACCATCTTCTTCCGCCATCCTTATCGCTACATGTTTGAGACACTTGTATATACGTCATCTCGCAACACATCGTAGTTTTATCGCAAAAACACATCGCTTTTTCATCACAAATAAAACGACATATTGCAATTACATGCAGAAATGATATTGCTGTTATATCGCAAATAACTTATCGCATGGATGAAACTTGAGTGGGACAAAATAACATCCCTCTGAAATCACAGCGACGTCTATGCGAAATAGCATGCGATATCGCAGATCACAATTGATACATCGCTGCGATATCTCTGTGTTCTTAACTATCACCCTATTTCAGATATATATACGTCTTTGAACCAAACCCCACTAAGCAAATTTGCAAGCTATGTTGATGCAAGGTTGTAGTAATTACTGAAATTTTGTAAATGTAACGTTCCAGCAATGTCACAGCAACTTGTAATATTGCTGCAACGCTTCATTATCAAACTTGACCTTTGCAATATTGCTGAACGTCTTTTTCAGTAATTGCTTCAACATTGCATCAACATAGTTTTCAACTTTGCTTAGCGGGACACCACATATAGTTATAGAGTAACTGTTTTGAATCACAGTCGTCCCAAAGTGAGTATTTTGCAGTTTTCATAAAAGTCGGTGAAAATGGCATTTTTTCAATGACGATAGCGATTTAAAATAGTACCTCGCACCAATATGTATTATGATTTTACTATTTTTTTTAATGGTGTTTGTTCAAATTTACATAATGTACCTATTTGTATTATTTCGTATGTTTTTACAATGTTGACTTCATTTGTTTTTATACATGTAATAATATTATATTACTTCCTACTGAACACAGTGGAAATCCACTAGAATAATTTTAAACCATGCTTTATTGTCAATAAGAAATGTTATTATTGAACAATAAAGCACACAGTATTGATTGATTAAAAATAACATTGAAATCTTGTCAACGGTGAAATGTTGTGAAAATGTAGTAGGTATTACATAGATTAAATCTTGCTGAAAAAAGTTGTGAGCTCTTGTTGCCAAGCGAGATAACCTCTACCAGAACAAAATAAATTCTAGAGGGGCATTGTACGGTCAGATGCGAATGAGATGTCGCACATGGGCATCGGCGGTGATAGAATTTCTAGTCACTTCTGCAATAAGAGCGCTGACACCATCCAACAGCGCCATGTTCTTTGCATCTGTCTGTACCTACAGGTTATGAAGGTACCTATGTGTGAGTGTGAAAATTGTCAACAATAATAAATCCGATTTCTATTGAATGTTTTAATAGTACCCTTTACAAGTTTTAATTTCTGTTTGAAAGTTTATAGTGATTTCTGAGCATATTTCAATTATATGCATCTGAACGAGTTCAATTCGACATTTTTTGTTTACAATCCCTAACAACACAGGGATGTCCTAGGTACGTCCTTTTTTTGTCCCGCGTTACAAGGACATGATTGGGACATCCAGGGGATGTCCTGCAGTAGGTTATCCTATTCGTGTCCCTGGAGTATCTGATATCCATTCACATCAGAGTCATTGAATTTCATCAAACTATAGAGTTGAATTTTTTTGAAAATGTTTGTTTCTCTTCCGGAAAATGATTGTAATGAAAATAAAGAATAAAGTCTCAGAACTTCTTGAGAAATTACCATTTTTCGCAGACAGAAATCGTACATTTTTAAACACCCAAGAATGATAATGATTATACCCAATTCCTAATAAAGTTGTATTTATTCAGGTTTCTGTAGTTAAGTCCTGTTTATAAATCTGTTTAGTACATAAATCTTCAAGGGTTCAATCCCTACTCGACATGCAACTTTTTTCTTTTGTCGAAAGGATGTCCCTGGGATATCCTTGGGACGTCCTAGGGATATCCTTTCATCGTACTTGGTACATCCCAGGGACGTACCAGAAAGACATCCCTTGGATGCCTTTTTTAGCGGCCAGCGGATGTCCCTGGGACATCCCTAGTATGTACGTTGTCCCGACAAAGGACATCCCTGGGATGTCCTAGTATAAAATCAGGGACGTCCATGGGAAGTCCCTAGGATGTACTGGTGTTGTTAGGGATGTGAATGAAAAATAATAATCGTTCCAACATTATCTTAGGCACGTAGGCCTAAAAGTGGCACTTTAAGCCCGACAATGCGGGCCTAAAAGAAAAGTTTACGCTCAGGCGGAAAAAAGAAGCGTGAGCACTACGATCGTGACCCATTGAGGCCCAAAAGTGTCACTTTGAGCCCACGGCGCTTATTCCTTTACAAATAGTCTAAGCTGATGAAAAAAAACACTAGGAACTTTCGAAAATCGTGTCAGTGTCACTTACTCACAAAACTACATTAAACATCGCCCAAGATGAAGGCTTGAACTTTCAATTCAACATTCGAACAGAACAGAAATCAGATTCGTTATGGTTAACAATTTTTACACTCACACATACATTCATAACCTATAGGCATAAAGCTGTTACCATCGATTGACTCGATGGTAATGATGAAGCCCCTCTAGAATTTCTTTTGTGCCGGTAGAGGTTATAACTTGTTTGGTTTCAAGAGCTCATAACTTTTTCAATGTGCATAGCAGGCCTTGGACCAAATAACATGTCTTGTTCAGCATGCATTGATTCACAATATTTCACAGTAGACAAGATTTCAATGTGAATAAAAATATGGAAGTTAGAGACGTCATTCGACGCAGAAATTTATGCTTTTCAACTTTGGATTCGGTTACATTTTCCGTATGGTGAGTCTATTGCTAGATATCAGCGGAAAACCAGGAAAACTCAAAAAATTTCGAGGTTTTTTGCGTTCTTTTGGAATGAACCGGAACTACGACTGATCCAGTTCAGCACCCCAAAAAACATGTGATCTTGTTGGGAGACTTTCTACCGCATTCATGTTTTCGAAAAAATACCATTTGATTAGATTATCATATCAGAAAATTCAAAACCTGAATATCTGATTATGTTTAATGGTAATAGTTATGATGAAAGGAATGAAATAATAGTCATAGATTATGAAAAATGGCACATAGTATATTATGTACGTATTGTATATTACATAGAGTTGATAATAATTTTATTTTTATGTCGTAGTCTAGCTGTTTAACCTAACTTAATTCTTCCTCATCACTCAATATTCTTTTTTTGTCATATATACTTTATCATATATTTAAAAACACATCCGCTTTGAAACGTTTATACAGGCTTAATTTTAAGCTTTACAAATTTGTCCTAATCACTTAATAACCACATACTCTTCTTAAAAGTTAAAAATTGTCAGATAACTACAAAAATATATAATATAAAATGCTCGCAACACTTTTACAGAATTCGTAGGCAACAATTCAGTAACTTTTAAGAAAAGTCGCAAAAATATTTGCACCGAGAATGGCTAAAAAATTATGGCTGCCAACTTTATCCGCGAAAAAATGAAAAATAGAATTTAGTGCCAAAAACTTTCAGTGCTTTCTGCTGCCAATTTCACATGGCTGCCATATGGAATGAAAGAAACACTGGTATTACAAAAAAATATACTATGTCGAATTTTATTGCAAGTAAAAAACCTATAAAATCGATAAATTTTCATTATTCAACGAAATAATACCTATTTAATTACCTTAACTGTGCCAATGTTCCCAACCAAACGACCATCTGTCATATATTTGATAAATAATATCTAGTTATTGTCATTGTATCAAAATATATTGGAGTTACTCACAAGGTTTTGATTGATGTTGATGAAGGATTGAAAAAATATTGAAAATTTCGAAATTGTGTTCCAGAAATATTTCATTATCTATCAAACATTCCAATATGTTTTGAATAAAAAAAAAGTGAGGAAAATTGAGGACAGTCATGGGTTCAATCAATTTCGCAATGATATCCAATAAATCCTTTCATTTATGACTGTTTATGGGAACAATAACTGAATTAGATCAATATCGTACTTAGTACAAAATTTTAGTTAAAGTAATTAAAATAATCTTAACAATCAAAACAAATAATATAAATATAATTCCCTAATATACTAAAATCATAAACAGCTGAAAAATATTACATGTTTACCTTTAAGAAAAATATTCCTAAGTATATTCCTAATTAAAATTTAAAATATATAAAATATAAACTTAAAATTATAAAAATAAAATAATGAACAGAATCATCAATAAGTTTAAAATCCGTTGCACAAAGCACTTTAAAACACTGCAACCAGCAAAAATGGACAAATAATTTAGGACTGTATAAATAAATTAACATAAAAAGAAATTTGTTTTTCATTGGCATTTTCATCAGGAAAAACGGGTGGCTTTTTAAATAAGTATATTGCATGAAAAAAATAATAGATAATATATATACAAGAATTACAAGTTATATAATAAGTAACCTCCAATGAATGAAGTCAAAATTCAATATTGGTGCAATGTAGATTCGTTTATTATATGTGGTTTGAGACATTTCAATGAACATGAATGTATGAGAATAAATAATGTATTAAATAAAATAATGTTATTAAATACATTATCAGAACATGAAATGATTTTTATATGAAAATGAATAAATGATAGCTCACTGTTTGTTCGATAATCATTCTCATTATCTAACTAATGCTTTCATTTCAATTTCAAATTGTCCTCAATATTTTTTTGAAAAAAATTGAAATATGTATTATGCACACTAAAACCTCCTAATTTGTACATAATTATAGTTAGATATGTATATAACTAGAAATAAAAAATGGCAGATTAAGAGATCAATAATAATACAAAGGATATTATAAACTAATTAAGTAATTTTATTTAAAGAGTATTATCATTCGTTTGGCACAACTGGGAAACATCATCTCAAACCACTAATGAAATTCCACCAAAATTGTACAATGTAGCTAAAATAATAACTGAAATCCATTCCACTACCTCTAGACTTTGTTCAATATTGGTTCTGATGTTTTTCGATCTCTTTCCATCTATCTCATGAAAATATCCCAAATTCTCTATTTGTCATGTTCCAATACATCATGTTAATGCAGGTTGTAATATTGAAATGAACGATTTCGAACACTAGCCAGCTGAAAAACTAGGTAGACTTGAGAATTAAACTATAGGACATTCTTTGAAAATCAACGGTAGATATCCTGAACGTTTTCTAACCTCATTATTTACTTTTCGGGTCTATTGAAGATGGAATTTCAGCTGCCGAAATGAACATTTTGATCTTCTAGATGTGATCGGACATTTTTAGTATCTTTTGAGTTCACTCAACCAGTATCGAAAACTTAACTGTAACTACCATACTCATTATGATCTCAGTATTTCATTGCACTTTGCTGAAAACAGCATCAAATGAATTACTGAGAGTGAAACGCAATATGGCCTACTCAACTATATCTATCGCTATGGGTATATACCGTGCTTTCATTGAAAAACACTACATACGCAAAGTATTCGGTCGTGCTTGGTGCTAGCAGCTACGTAAAATAACGATATCGCACGATGTTATGTCCTATGTGAGGACTAGACGTGAAAGCACGGTAAATAGTAACTCATATACCATGATTACCATGAGACTAAAATGACTCATTCAATCCAGAGGGCTTCGCCTGGGAAACATAACCACTCAAGAGATTTAGTCACTTTAGTCCCACAGTATGAACATTATTTTTTGCACTCTCGGGAGAACAAAGAATAAAATTAAGTGAACTGTCAGAGTTTGACAAGAATCAGTCGATTATTTTGTCAGTTTCCTGGCCAACAGTAAGTACACACTTTAGTCCCGTAAGTGCAGAAAAGATATGAACGCTACAACATTTTGTATTCAATGAAATCCCCCAAACCAGAAGTCGAATGACATGAGTGGCAACCTTGATCAAATGAATTGGATACCTCTATATGAATATTTGCTAACAAAATTTAGAATACGAGATCATGTAATTTTGTCACCAATTCAGAACTTTGTGAATTTGACAATCTATTGAAATTTCAGGACCCAGTTGAAACATGAATTCATGAACACTGATTGTTGCTTTCTGCAACTGTAATTAGATTTAGGCCGCTTCTATTCATCGGCGAGCCCCGACATATACAGTGTGTTTCAATTTGCTCCACCCCACCCCTATACTTTCGTATTCCTAGGACGATTCAAGAATTTTTTTTCTCATAATATACTACTCAAAATTATCTACTTTGAAGAGCAAACAAATTATCAAACATAATTTCTTGGCCTACTGCGATCGCAAAATTAAAGAAATCGGATTAGGCATTTTTTCACAAGAATTTTGATAATGGCAATTGATTCGGACTAGCCACAAATACTCCCACATCAATTTTCAAAACAATATCACCTAAGGGGTGTTTATTATCAACGTTACAATTCTTGAATAAGTGAATATTGCAAGTCACCGTGTACAATAATTCTTTCAGGAATTTGAATAATACCAGACATGAAGATAGTCAGGATTAGATCATCTGGGTACAGAGTGAGAAATTCAGGACAAGAAATAGAGGAGAGTTGCGACAAAGAATAGTAAGTTTACAGATAGATACCACCAGAAGAACTGAGGAGAGTTGAAAATAACGTGCGAAAGAGATATGAAAAGTGTAGGTACAGAGGATGAAGGAGAATACAAACATCTGAATTCGTTATGAATGGTTGCTGTTCTAGTTTTTTTTCTTCTAATTTTTTAATGATATTTTTTAGTTTTTATTATTTAGTTTTCTCATCTTCTTTCCATTTCTTCATAGATAATTCAAATTTGAATTGATTTTATTCCTTACTTTTCTCACTCTGTAGACATACTATAATGCCTGGAATAATTGAAATTCATATAAGAATTATTATACACGGTGACCTGAGAAAGCGAATTATCAAAAAATTGTGATGTTGAAAAAAAAATCACCCCTTATGAGACATTGTTTTGGTTATTAATATAGGAGTATTTTTGAATTTTTTTTTTCATGTTCTGGTTCCCAGAAAAGGGGATATCCTGTAATGTTCAGAGAACATCGTGGAAAAATAATCACAATTGCAATTCATCGATGCGTAATGCATAATGGTTCTGATGGAATGAAAACTTGAACATAAACAACTACATAATAACGTAATATAAGGATAAATGCCTAAATGAACCTTCCTAAAAGCTATATTCTTCGGAAAACTACTATAAAGAATGAAAGAGACGACTCTTTATAAACAATCTAACTCAAGTCGGCCTAAATGAAACTTCTTCGTCGAAAATATATTCAGAAAATTAGAGGAGAGAAAGAGAGAGACAGAGAGAGAGAAATGAGAGAACATTAAAAAAGTTGTCCTTCGCAAGGACTGAACCCCGGGCTGCAGGCGTGACATGCTGACGCTTGGTTCATTGTAGAGTTCGACCACATCAAGTTTGGGAAACCACGTGACTAAACGCATATGCATATTATATTCAATGCATACGCAACCACATGCTGTCTTAGAGTTAACGTGGTCGGACTCTACCACGAGCTAACTTGATAAAAATTTAGGTTTGTAAAAATGTTCAAATAGATGGATAGCAAATGTAGTGAACGCCCCGATGTTTAGACAAAAATATTCTATCCGTCAAGCGGAATATGAGCATGCGTGCAAATGTATATGTATATGTCGGGGCGACTCAATGCATAGACACGACCATAAATGCATTTTATTTTGTGGAATTAGCTAGTTTAACTACCTTCTCAAACTCAAACACTTTTTATGATCAAATAACAGTTTGCTCCATGAAAATATATATGAATGTATTTTAACATCCACTGTTCACATTATTTGAGTAAGTTTGATTTATTGTTTTCAAAGTCTAATTTGAATAGTCACTTTCCAGAAATTTCAACCAGATCCTGAAAAAAAAACGAGACTTCAAACAGAATCGTGCCTGTGCAAGTGCCTAATATAGTTTGACTATATTATATGTTATAAATAGATCTGAGTAATCCGGTGAAGTTGAAATCGTTCATATTAATATTTTGCATTTCGCTCCAATACCAATTCAGAGTAAATTACTGTATAATTTTGGAAGAACCTATTCCTCTGTGGATACAAAAAATCCATCTTTGTAATTTTCATGTTATACAGAAAACTGACAGCAAAATGTGTTCTCAATCAAGTAAATTTATCAAGAAAACAAAAAAAGAACCAATGTTTCTGTTAGTTTTTAGTTTATTTTTGCTTGAAATTTTGCATATGTATCAAATATTGTATCCTGAGTAACTCTAATCAATCAATATTTTCGTAATTTATCGATTTGTTGAGTATATCTAGAAAAAATACTTTTATTCAAGACCGGGAGTAAAGTAGCCACTTTACCGCCTGGATTTGCGGGCGTAAAATGTAACTCCCGCGGCGTAAAAATAACTCGTGATAGGCTTTCCTGTATAATTCAGAACATCATGTCTTACTTACACGCTGCGGTCCATGAAAGCCTACTTTACTCCCTTGATACATAAAAAACTGTTTTTGGGGTTAGCGATTTTATGCATTATAGAAACTAACACCAAATTTGAAGTTTGATAGATGTTTCTATCAGTGACTTGAATATACATCTCAATAATTTTTTCAGGTGTTCTAACGAAATGTTTGCATTTGGATTGGTAACTTTCGGCAAAATATAGATTTTGCACAATTAATTTGCAATCGAATAACCTAGAATTTTTTATCAGAGACAATCTGTTGAATGAATTTCAGGGTTTGGGGAATTTTTTGAATCACCATTAAATCTCAATTAAGTTTTGCTGACTGGTCGAGCACACAAATATTTCTCAATATTACCACAACACTATTTCTCCCTATAACGATAACTATATAACAGATGGTGATGATGATAACATCAGAACCAATATTGTCCAAGAAAATAATTAATTCTCAAAGATTGTGGAGGTACCCATTTCAGAAGTTGTTATAGACTGAAATGACTTTCAGCTAGCTGACTTCTAAAAATAAATAAAGCTGTCTTCTAATTTGTTCCGCGAAAGTTAAGTGAATAGACGTAAGTAATAAACAAGGATGGAAAGTAAAAATACAATAATTATTACTGTATCACTACGTAATATTCTTAAAAAAATAGATAATCGTTTATGCATGATGTATGATGAATATGATGATGCCGTTTTGTACGAGAGTGTATGTACAGGTAGCAGAAAGTACTATCACTGCTATTGCGGCTGACCTGGATTGTGAGGCAAATTGGTAGGTGGCCCCTGGAAATTCACAAAAAAAAACATTACCCAATGAAATGAACATTACGTGGACCAACACAACACCAACACCAAATAGTGAAACGGCATAGTAGAAAAACTCATGACAATTGTGCATTTTGTGATACAAGCATGCAATTTTAACCATTGTTCTAACATAATATGAACTCGCTTTCAAGATATTGGGGCACTTTATGTTCCATCTCAAAGGAGTTTTCATTTACCACTGATCGAGCCACTGCTTGATAATACAATTAACACTCCTACCAGTGAAGAATATAAAAACAATTATTGACATCACTTAATCCTTGTAAGAAAAAAATATTATCTATATTTTGCGGGCTACGAGAATTCCTTCCAGAAATTATTATTTAACTCCAACATTCTTGCAGAATACGATATACCGGGTGGCTACGGAAGTATTGCCTACGGAATATCTCAGTTATTGTATGACGTAGGTTTGTGAAATTTGGAGCGTCAATATAATGACATGAGAGCTAGAATTTGAGCATATTGACATGTCGAAGTTAACTTCCGGTCTGACCGGAAGTAACATCGACTTTCTTATTTTGAATGGAAACCCTTTTTTTTTTTCTTTTCGCTTCATTCAGCATTCAATTCCCTTTCTAATGACATATCACAAGTTGGTATCTAACCAGGAACTAGATCAGAAAAAAATTATTATTGAAATTCACCGAGCAGGCCGTGGAAGCAAAATGAAAGCCGAAAATTGAAAAGTTGGCTGTGGAAACCATACGTCACTTGATAACAGTTGCTACGACTGTGGTATTTTATTTCCATTCGTCGGCGTTATAAAAATCCGCCAAAAAAAATATTGAAAAAATTGGGAAAGAAACAATACTCTGTAGTTCCATAATAGGATCATGCAACTTTTTCTTGCCTGTACTATTAAGCATAACCATTCCTTTCTAATGATATAATAGAAAGTCATTTTTTGAAATGAAATACCAAAAAATCCAATTATTATTCTTCAAAAAACAAAAAAACAGATTTATGAAATTAAAATATCACAGTAGTAGCAATTGTTATCAAGTGACATATGGATTCCATAGCCAACTTTTCAATTTTTGGCTTTCATTTTGCTTCCACGGCCTACTCGGTGAATTTCAATAATAATATTTTTCTGATCTAGTTTCTGGTTAGATTCCAACTTGTGATATGTCATTGAAAAGGGAATTTAATGCTGAATAAAGCGAAAAGAATAAAAATAGGGTTTCCATTTAAAATAGGAAAGTTGATGTTACTTCCGGTCAGACCGGAAGTTGAATTCGACATGTCAATATGCTCAAATTCTAGGTCTTATGTCATTATATCGACGCTCCAAATTTCACAAACGTACTTCATACATTAACTGAGATATTTCGTAGGCAATACTTCCGTAGCCACCCGGTATGTCATTGAAGTTGGATACATTTTGATGTCCAAAACCAGACAGCATAGACATTATTGTATCCTGAAAACTTAAAGGAACGTTGATATTGTTATTGCCACTAATGGAACTCAAGAATTGAGTTTACTTCAGGCAAAACCTGATATTTATTCTGGAGAATATTTCCATTAAATTTGAAATATATGTTCTAAAGACTCAAAGAATTTGAAACTCGAACAATTTGAATGACCAAGTTATATTCTTCAGAAGGGAAATTTGAACTGGTGGGATATTTCAAAATTACTAGCACGTAAGTTTTAGTAAAGATTTTGCCCTTATCACAATTTTTCTGCCTTTATTCGGAAAATACAGTTATACACTACTATACTACTACAGAAATTATAGCAGAAACTATCGCACCACCAAAAACTAGGGTCCCTTGATGGAAATTGCCGTTAAAGTCATCTTAACAGGGTACGGACAGATCCTCGTCTCCTCTCACTTTAAAGTGTTTGTGAAACAGTTATATAGTTCCATCCTTATTCAATTCTGGGGATAAACACTAGATTTTTGTCATTCGTTGTTTTTTAGGTTATATTGATGTCACTGGCGTATCATACGTAATTTCCATATGGAATTCCTGATTCAACTATACCAAGATATAGATGAACAATCCTCTAATTTTAGAGTTTACTACTCCAGCATAATCTTTGCGAGGTAGGGAACATATAAATTGTACTGAAAGCTCAATATATTTCACCAAAAGAGACTGTTCTCAGACTGTATATCAGGGTTGACTGAATTGACTAAATGAATTCTGATTTCAAGCTGAGCAGAAGTTTATCTATGAGCTGAATGAGCTGAGCGTTATGATTGAGAAATGGTGGAAATCTCGATGTGGGGGTATCTGAACTACTGTATTCATGTCATGTGTGCTAAATATATTTTCGGAAATCCAATTGGGAGAAGAGTTTATGGAGTGACTATAATATCACACTATGTATAAAACTTCGTCTGGCACGAAAAGTAGGCTGATAAAAAGTAATACGTAAAATGTGCAGGAAAATAAAGAATAGAATATACTTTACCCCCATGTTATACATATGATTTTTCCCTCTCCCTTAAAAAAAAAGTTATTTTCGAATAATTTATTGATGAAAGTAACAAAGAAGTAGGTATACGCAGTAAAACTTATAGGCACGTTATTTTTACTCTTGCGTCCTACATATTTTTTATTTATGGTAGAGTAATAGTAATATAAACTAATGTCTTTCGCCATATTGGATCCGTCATCTTGAATTTTCAAATTTTGACGAAACAATCATTATCTCCTACCCCGAAAACCCCCAGATACCTTCCAATTTTGAACAGAATCGGATCACAATTACAAAACTCGTTCGCTATATGATCTTCCTCAACAAGTTAATACCCTGTACCCACCTATTATTAAAATTTTGAATGATTTTCTTTAGCGCCCATGGATGTGACGTGACAGCAATGTCTGGGATGCCAGTAGACAAAACCAAAGTCTCTAGATCATTAAAAAAGAATGCAGCTATGATCTGTCCGTACCCTGTTAAGATGACTTCAACGTCAATTTCCATCGAGGGACTCTACCAAAAACTAGCCAAAAGTTTAGAAAACATTTTCGAATGACAGGTTATTTAATTCTGAACATTGGTGTATAAACTGTATATGCATAAAATAGTTATTTATGTATTAAGGGAATTATGAGGGCCTTAATTACCGATGGCAAAGTTTGCGTCCCGAGGGCCTCTGGCCCGAGGGACGGCAATTGCCTGAGGTTATTGAGGCTCAGTAATTCCCGTGATACATAGATACTTTTATTTCTGACTGATTTCATTCATTAGATACCTTCCCGATTGGAAGTTAGACATGTTTTTCCGTATAGTTTCAATGTCATCAGAACGTCAGATGATGATCTTGACTACCGCGAATAGGAGATTCCGTATTGCTACGTTACTGCGTGGTTGTTGCTATGCATTTCTTATTTGATTTTAGTTAGAGGGAATTATAGCATCTATAACATCCCAAGGGAGTTATGACCCTCATAATAGATATCGTAACTATGACGATATAAGCTTATAATGTCACTGTCAGAAATAAACATATTTTTTATACATACCGGGTGTAGCAATTACATCGTGTTTTTTCATAGAATTTGTAATACCCTGTAGAATATAATAGTTACACTTTCAAGTTTGAATTGAATTTTTTTCATGGATTTTATGGAAAATTGATATCCAAATTGAACAACGAAAAAACGCAAATGAATGCGTCACAAGTCAAAATAAAAGGTTGGTAGTGAGAATGTCCGCCAAGGGCACGAATATCTTCTTGGCAAAGACGGCCTATAACTAAAATAAGAGACCTATAATGTCATGTTGGTCCATGTCTTCCAAAATTTGAATCCTGCCTCTGCCGTGTGTTTTCCAAAGTATTCAAATTATGTTCGTCTTGTAATCTTGCCCGAAGAATATCCCAGAGATTCTCAATGGGATTTGAATCCGGGCTGCAAGCTGGCCATGCCTTGGTATAGGGATACAGACTTCCTCTAGATATATTTTCACAATTCAGGCGACGTGAGGCCTGGCGCATTATATTGAATCAACAAAAATTCTTACACTATGCGGTTCTAAAATCACCAATATGGACTATCATTTTCACAAGTTTTATGCGACCAGTCAAAGAAATGCCTTCTCAGAAAATAGTCTGCTACTTTGGTGCTTATAATGCTAATTGAAATCAATGAAATCATGTTATGCTATGAAATTGTATTTCTGGGGACATAGAAAGATAATGGAGTAAATCCGAAGAAGGAATGTTGAAAATCGATAAGGCTAACGTGTACTTCTTGATAACGTAACTGATACATTCCATAGGGCATTACAAATGTCATGAAGAAAACACGTTATAATTACAACACCCGGTATTCATAATAGGTAAAGAGGTTCTTATGCGAATACAGTTTGCTCGCCAATATTCAGAAGATGACATATCATTCGAAATAAAAATCGTCAAGTAGTTTCGACGAGAATGTGTCCCAAATTTTTGGAGATGCATTAATTATTTGGGGAGGTGTAGTTCAAATTTTGAATCATATGCTTACTGGTAGTGAGGGGTAATGGGGGGCAGAGAGCATGTGATGTGGCGGTCCTGGACCTAATTTAGGCCCATCTTCTGCCTTCTCTTCTTCCCGTCGTTTCAAACAAGCAGCTTTCGGGTTCAGATTCCTCTCTGAAAAAAAAAGAGAAACATCATTAAAAACTCATAGAGAGTAAACAAAAGATAATGAGGGGAGACAGATAATGCAAGTAAAAGAAAAATAGAAAATATAAACCCACCTCTAACTTGCTGTTCCAAAGTCATGATAACTTCTACAGCCATATTCAATATACCCAGTTTCGTCTGTGGTTTGTCCGTTTTTAAATGTGCCATACACATTCTTCCAAGTTCTTTGAGAGCTTCATTTATATCACGAATACGTATCCTAAAAAAATTATTCATCTCAAGCAGACGCTACTTAGATCCAATAAGTCCCTTTACACCATTACATTTAATTGAAGAATCACGTAACTGCTGAATATTTTATTGCTTTCAAACAACAAATAGCCACTGAAATGTTCTCTACCAACGTATAAAAAAGGCTCAACTATTGATCCAATATCTGGTGAAGTTGAAGTTCTTTGCAAAAATTTTCCAGAAATGTTTGCTAATTTTAATTCAGCATCATTAAAAATTATTGAATGAGTAAGGTAGTGCTATCAAAATATGTCATGGATTGATTGGTATCTCGTCAAAGTAAGTGAATTATTATAAGATCAGATATTAAAGGAATTGATTGAACACTGAAGTTATATCATGGTGAATTCATTCTCAACTTAACTCAGTCCTGACTTAAGAATTAGGGAAAATGATTGGCGAATTTCCGATTGATTTCTGGAATCATCCAATTATTATCTAGTATCCTCAAGTTACGAAATTGAAGTTGTACATGAATTGACCATGATCTTGATATAAAATGTATGTATATACAGGGTGTCCCAGAAGTAATGGATCAAAAGAAGTGGGGTGGTAGGGGGGGTCGTTTGTAATCAAACTAACGGTATATGTTGTTATCAAATTGTTGATGGTTCAAGAGTTATTCAATTTTTTTTTAAATGCGACCCATTTCAAAGAAATTAATAACAAAAAGGCTGTTTTGAATAACCACATATATTATACTATTTCGGAATCTGTATTAAATGAGCAACTTTTTCTTATGATTGGTTATCTCCGTGGGGTAGTTTTTGAATCTGCCAGCGGCATTTAAAAATCAACTCGAATATTTGATTCGCTGACAAAACTCAAGGGAAACAAAATTTTCCTCAGATGATTGATAAGAAGTGATACATGTCATAAAATTATTTCCAGGGAAAGGTGCATCCATGTGGATGAAATTTGTGAAAGAAAAAATCACAAGTGTGAAATAGTTTTATTTTTATTAATTCTTTTTATAGGAATGGAAAAACAATGATAACTTTTAAACCATCAATGATTGGATAACCACATATATGTTTAGTTTGATTGGAAATGACCCTCCCTACCACCCCTTTCTTTTGATCCATTACTTATGGGACACCCTGTATATATGTGTATAAATCACACATATAATTTCCCAGAAACATACAAGATTTCAAGAACTATGATAATTAAACGAATTTGTTGAGATTATTTCTCAATATATTAAAGATACTTGATTCAGAATGAAAACACCAATATAATGTCTGTACTTTTCATTTTCCAAGCAGCAACCTAAATGCACTAGGATGCAGCCCTACTTAAATGGATCACCTTATTTACGTTATGATTGGTCTCTCCATCTCATTGCGTGACCCAATATTCGCAATTATTTGTTCTTCAATACTTTCACATTAGAGATGTTATTGATGATTTGAAGAATTCGGGATAAATCAATCATATTAAATGTTTGGTTAATCAATGTTTACAAACTATGCAATCGACATGAGATGAACCAAAGCTTTCTATTTCTGAATAACTGAGTGATTTAATTTCAAAAACTCCACCTTTCACTCCGATGCAATCACATCTAATCAACAAACGGATATATCGACTGATTATAAAGTGTGGAGAGAAATTAATTGACTCAGTTATAACATGAGAAACACATACAAGAATATAGGCCAAGACGTTCGACACATAACCTCAAAGATGATTGAAACGAATGGGAACATGTCAAAATCCCACCTTTCCCTGGCATTATTAGCCTGTCGCCTCTCTTTTTCCCTTTGTGCCTTCATAACTGGATCTAAATCACCCTCTTCTGTTTCGTCAGCACTGGAACAACTGTCACAATATTCATGAATGAATATCAAATTCGAACAAAATCCAAATGGAAGTGAATGAAACCAGAATTTCTATCATCTTTTTCGTTTGAGTTCTATGAAAATTCAGACAAATGACTTCATGAAACTTTTGATTTCATTCAATCGACTCAATGAGAAAAATCGGAAAACTGTCTGAGTAGCAACCTCAGCAACCACCATTCATATCAAGGCAAGCAGACTATATCAAGTAACTATTGGTCCAGCGATTCACATTTGAAATGAACTTTTTATTTTCTCTGATTGAAATGTGGTCCTCAACAAAAAACATTACCTATGACCTTCTTCTCATGTGTTGCAAAATTTGAAGCAGACACTATTTATGTTGTACAGGGTTATCCATCAAAGAGGTCCACCCCTTCATTTATGATTCCTTCCACCGAAACAGAAAACAATAAACGGAAGTTGAATGCCGCAATAAGTTGTTTTTTCTACAAACGTCGAAAAATGACAAAGGTTCGCGCATTGATAACAATTTGCGAAGTGACACTTTTTTCAGTTTTCTACTTTACCTACCACGACACAATGTGCGAAGCAGTGCGCGAAGTAAAACGATGCCCAAAGTACATACTTCGCGCATTGTATGTAAACTATATGATATTCTTGTATTTAAACTTTATGGTCCTCAATCAAGCAAACATCCAAGAAATCATTTGTTTAACAATAAATAAGGCCTTTTAAGCCAGTTCAACACTATTTTTTATATTGAGCTAAGCATATTACTTCTTTAGAACTATATTTTTTGACGTTTGTAAAAAATATGTACTTTGGTCATCTCGAACATCTTTTCAACTCGGCAGCGCCTCTTTAAAAAAATCAGTTCTTAATCAACAAAGTAGCATTTCGTGCACTAGATACAAAAATAACTATTCACGGCTCTTATCAGGTGTCTTGCAGGGTGATTCCTAGAAGCTTAACAAACCACAAATTCATTTTTCAAAATACATATTTATTCAAGGTGATCAAATTTTAATATAGGAATTAATTAAACTCGATAAGAAACTATCACCTTTTCATTAGACATATTATGCTCTAAAACAATCATTATGAGGTAAAGAGCGTTGAAGTTTGACTTTTTTCAATCCTGAATAATTCTCCAAGATTTTTCAGATGCATTGAGAAGAATACTATGCAATGTTTTCAGTCAAGGTCAATTGATTGTATTTATCAGAGGATTCATTGTTTAAGCTACCGTTTCCCTCGTTATCGATAACCATGATGTTTTTGATTAAATAGATGGAATAAGGAAGAAGGAAGAAAATAAATACCAAGCAGAATGGAAAAAAATAAACTGAATATCAATGAATCCCACTAGTACTTTTGTGTTGAGGTACGTAACTCTCTATACTATTCATTTATTTAGTAATTTCTCCAGTAAAATGATATTCGAAGAACGTTCTTACAAGTTAGCATGATCACTTTTTTCCAACCCCTTCAAGATGAATTGACAAAGCAACTGTTGTTGTCAATAATCAGTAGACTCAAAATTCGGTTATTGAATGGTACACTTTGAAAATGTAATGAAATCTGGTCAGTGGTGTACTGGAAAGAAGTTTTATCCATCTTGTTACTAACAGTATTCAAAATATGTATCATCCAGCATGTCAACCTAAATATCATGACCTACAATATCTGAGCAATATCTATCAATGATATTGAAACATTGAAGATGTATATTTCAACAAAAATGTAGAAACCAGGACGGCGGAATGGCGCAGTGGTTGAGGCGAATGACTAGTAATCAGAACATCGAAAGGTTGCTAGGTTCGAATCCCCGGGAGAGCAGAGAATTTTTATTTATGAATTTACGAATTCTAACTTTCGTAGCCTTGGCAGGAGGGGCTGAAGGACCTCTTGTAAGGTCGATGGCTAGTTGGTATGTAAATACATATCAACGAAGTACATATACTACTACTTTGAACCCAGGGTGTTGATTTTTGGTTTGTCATGCTTTTAGGGATCTCCCAGTAAAATTTCTGATAGGGGGTTGAAATGGCATTATTGCAACTTTGATTTTGTTTTCCAATATAACGTAAGGGTGGACCTCTTGATGGAAAAGGTATTTCCTGCACAGTCCTGAAGAGATACCTTCGAGATAGTTATTTGTTATTCTTAAAATCAATAATACACTGGAAGCATGACTTTCCTGACAAGAAACTCGAGGGAAAGGTAGCAATTATTATTAGAGAGAAAAATCAATGAGTCAGAATAATCTCAATAACATATGCTCGAAAAAGGTAGCATAAGATATAGGCCCATATTCTATGTGTCTCTCTTTCTCTGTTAGAAATGCAATTCAACAATATCAAAAAACAAATCTACTACATGCTCAATCTTAAAACAAATGTTGGGAAACAAAGATTCTTGAATCGAGGATAAACGTAGCTTTCAAGTGCAAATGAGAGTACCTACAAATTTAATTTTACACTTGAAAACAAAAACATTATTTGTGTCTGAACATGAGCCTTTGATACGGGCAACAACGGGTGACGAAAGGATCAAGGAATTTTTAGGACAACACATTTTTCTAATAATACTTCATAAAATAAAGAGATAATACTTAGAAAGGAGATGCTAAATCATTATAATCCGAAAAAGATTCACTCACTACTATTTGATTCTCGATTTCACCTGATTATAATATTCAACATCGCAAAATAATATTTAACGTTCTGTCTATACACAACGTGATTTATATCATAAAAAAACTCATTCAATGAAAGTCAACAAACTCGGGATTGACAGCAAACGCTGGTAGAGTTCGAAAAGTCACATCAAAATAGCAGAAATTGATGATACAACGACCCCAGGTAATGATACTGCATTTTGCACTCAAAGTGTTCTTGTGTTGTAGTCTTTCAGAAAGCTTCCACACTCAAGCTACCTTAAGCTTAGAAGACGGTGTCGATATGTTAGTGAAGAGTGCATTTTATCAGAAAGGTGTGTAAAAGCAAGAATGAATTATTGAAATAATCTCTAGAACACCGTAGGAAAGTCGACGACCTTTCACTGTTTTATAAATACTTCCATGGAAAATATGCTTCAGATGAACTCGACAAGTCCAGTCAACACATCCCTGTCGGACATCATTCTACCAAACCTCGTTTATCCAAGAACGGCAAATCTTTGACATTATTTCCCTAGGGAAGCATTAATGCCTATTTTTTCTTCCTATCCCCTCTAGGAACGTACATAACAGAAGTTCCTTGCGAGCATTCCAGATAATACAATAACATTCAGTGTCAGTTCTGTCTTCATTATAGTGTTTCCATGAGTAGGTATGTCATCTGTTTGTTATTCTAACTCATTTAGATCTGGCTATTATATTGAACATTTCAGTGCAGGAAGACGAAATTTCATTAATTTTTAGCCATTTTCTATCAAATTTGAAATCTTGTCATTATATCAAAATTTTTGGAACAGGAAAATAAAATTCTGAACAAAAAATTTTATAAGTCGAGAACCTGAACTGAGTGACTGACATTATCATAATCAGGGAACTCGGAAGCGAAATTTGATAATCCTAAAAAGTATTTTACTTTGAATCAAAGAATATACGTATTTTCTCTAAAAAAATAAGAAATTTATACATTATTCCAGATTTTTCAGGATTTTCTCTCCTCGTTTCTGTGAAATAAAAATGAGATTATTATTTCAATGAACATGTAGTAAGGAGAATCCCAAATAATCTGGAATAATGAATATACCACTTCCTGGATTAAACGTAGGACAGTATTTTTCGATGTTTCCTTCCAAATAATCCTAAGACAATGTAATTAGAGACTAGAACTGACTGCTGTCTAGTCGTCGTTTGATTTTATTCCAAAAACGAAATGAACAAATATTCCAACCAATCAAAAACTTGTATCTTGAAATGAATGTAGTGTAGTAGTATTGTTCTCATCTTTATTGTTGCACTGGAAACCTTTTGAAGTAATCGGATGTGTCAATTTTATTCTGTGTTTTGATTTTAAAAAATTGCGAACAGTGGTTCTCTAGTAATTTACGCAACCGCGAAGTGGAATGGAAGATAAAAGGACTTTCGGTTCATTCTGGGATACGATGTTATTGGCTTATTTCTCTGAACTGGCACAACAAAAGATATCAACAGTGCAACTATAGACCCTGAAAAAAAAACACTATTTTTCCCGTGGGAAAAGTAATTTATGCAAAGTGACATTTTGTAACCTGTCAACAGAGATAATGTCAAACTTTTACCCGCTACAGAAAGAAAAAATGAATGACCTCGGTTTACACGAATGATATAAATCACGTTGTGTATTTTTCATCATGCATCGTGAAAAACAGTATAGTATTATGTGAATCCATTTCTAATTCGATCATTTTTTTACATACCGTTCACGAACATTGTTAGCCTGTCTACGCTCTTTCTCGCGTACAGCCTTGTTGCTGGGGTCATCTATTTCATCGTCATCGCCGTTACTTGAACAACTACTCAGACAATTTGTTTAAAAATGTGAACCAACAATGGCAAAACCAATAACAATTTCATTTTGAGGCAAAAGAGTACACCGTTTCGAAAATATAGTATTTGGGAACATGAAGAATTATATTGGTCAAAAGTGGTCTAGAATGATTGTGAAATAAGTTTAGTACAATATTTGATTGACAGATGGCTATCCACATGGACAAAACTGCACTTTGCCGCACGAAACGACATGCAATCTAACCTAACTTATCCAGTTTCTTCAAATGCATGAAACAAACTTTTGAACAATTGCTAGGCTTCTCACTCAATTTCTTTCTGAATATTTAGTACTTTTTCTGTTGGATCTGGTGAAATCTGATGCAATTAATAAAAAAATTTAACCGAACTCATCCAGTTTCTTCAAATGCATGGAAAATACTTTTGAACAATAGCTGGGCTTCTCACTCAAATTCTTGCTAAATATTCAGTACTTTTTCTTTTGGATCTAGTGGAATCTGCTGCTATTAATAATATAATTTAACCTAACTTATCCAGTTTCTTCAAATGCATGGAAAATACTTTTGAACAATTGCTGGGCTTCTCACTCAATTTCTTGCTAAATATTGAGTACTTTTCCTTTTGGAACTGGTGAAATCTCAAGTCCTGTTAATTTTGAAAAGTATGCAGCACATTCCTCTTTATTCAATTTGTTTAGTGATCAACATAATTGAACAGAGTTAAATACAAAACTACAAGTATTTTCAATCAAGATGAGACATCTAATTTCATCCTAGTGAAATGACAAATACAACAAATTGACATGCACCCTAATAGAAGCTAGAATCTTGTATGTATGTTTATATCAATTATGACCACTTTTGACGACAAGAGAATTTTTGATATCTCGGTATATTGTACCTTGTGGATATGCAAACACAACATTAGAGGGAACAAAATCATCATAAAAAAGTAAGGAAGGAAAGCTCGAAATCGTCTCCACACAATTTGCTGAGACGATTTTGAGCATTCCTTGTTTCCTTTGACAATACCACTCCACTTTGAGCAATATGGACTTCTACCAAAGATTAAAATCATCATAGTCTTCAATTGCAGTTTTATATAAGAAACCCAATCTTCAGTATATATTTTTCTGTCTAAAAGAGAACAATATGAGATTTTTATAAAACTCCCACATGTGCTGCTTAGCTCAACAAGTTGCTCAAAGTGATCATCCAGTTTAATTCTAGTGAAATAAATTCAATTTAATTTAGTGATAGTGAAATAAAATACAGATGGTATGAAGAGAAGATGAAATGAATTCAAGACAGTAATTCCATCCGTTACTCTCGAGATTCAACATCAACTTTAGTCCATGGTATCCCTGGATTAAAACCTTTACCAATTCACTTTACTGGTTGATTATCATAAAAAAATATATAGTATAATATGACATTTCACCCATTTTTCTGAGATTCAAACATACTGGAATATTAACAAATACAAGGCACATCATACCAATTTAATACCTTGATTACATTTTCCTGGATTTCGAAATGTTATCAAAACTTCAATAATTGGTAGGACTGACAATGTAGTCGTTAATTTTGCCATTGTTAAATGAACTGTAAGAGACAGAGAATAATGTATAATTTCAAAACGGGACTTACTATCTTCTTGAGCGTTTACTAGCTTTTGGTGGGTTCCCACTAGTTGAGTTAGGCTGACTTATACTTTCAACAGAGCTGGATGGTTTGGTGTCACTATCTGGAGGTTCTTTGCGTTTTTCTGAAAAGAGTAAAGATGTCACAATTGATGTTTTGACTATGTGTGCAGAAATCTATATGGACTAACTTAGTTGATGCTACTTGGGAGGTTTGAATACTTTGGCAGTTGACATGTCAAACATCATACCCATTGACGATATCAAAATAGTAGATAAATTAATACGTAGACATAAATTTAAGTTGACACTTCGAAATTTTGCGACTTTTCAAGTGGATAAAAATAAATCTAGAAGAATCCCAATCCCGTTCAATCCCAATAGTATATGGAGGGACTAAAAAAAATTTGTTCTAAAATTTGTTCTATCCGTCATTCGGTTGCCCCCTTACGAGCAACCCTCAAAAGTCTTCGAAAGACTTGTGCGAGCAAGGAATGACGGGGGCCTTACCTTTTAACGTGTGATCCCAAACACTTTCTTGGGCCATCAGAAAAATTTCTGCAGTCGACGGGGATCGAACCCACGACCGGCAAGCGAATGCGAATTAGAATATAGACACTCTGTCCGCACGGCTACCTGACCACTTGATGAGGTTTTCAAAGACTTAGGTTTTGAAAGCGTTTATCAGTCTGGGTCAAAATTAGGCAATTTCTTAGACAATCAAAAAGATAAAGTGGACAAACTTGAGAAGTCTGGAATATACGAATTGTGATGAACATATATAGGCCAAACCAGGCGACCCATAAGAAGAACAAGGTTCAAAGAACACATGGCCCATTTGAAATATGGCAGGTTAGATAAATCTTGTGAAGCCGAACATATTATGTTCAATCACAATCATAACACACATATCACTAACCTCAAATTAGTTGAGCAAGTTAATAATATAAAAAAACTAGACGCATATGAAAGCTTAGTGATATTCAAGAATAGTAATAGAGTAATGAATAAGAATAATGGACCTATTCCATATAGCCCTCTATATAGTTTAGTAATATAAAAATTAAGATTAACATGTGAACTCAACCATGACAAACATTAACTTGACGGTTAGTATTTTTCACGGTTGGGTGAACATACCTAGTATATAAGCAGCACACTAGAATAGGATATTTAGTTTTAATCTTCTCCTGAAGATGCTAACATAGTTAGCGAAACACGTGTCGAGGCGTTTAAAAATCGGATTGGTTAGTGGTAAAACAGTGTAGTGTATTATCGTGCCAAAGGTTCCAGTCTTCGATTTATACTTTCTGTTTGTGAATTGCATAATTGGCTTGTCCGTTAATAAATAAATAACAAAAATCGACTGACTTGTGTTGTACGTCGTCCGCCCCTCGGTCTTGACGGTATCGGGCAGGTGGTGGTCGGGCGGAACGGGCGGCGCAGCGTACCCGAGCTGCTGCATTTGATGCGCCGAGAGGCCACCCGGCAGCTGCCCAGCCAGCCCGAGCGGTTCCGCGTGGTTCCGCAGCACGTTGATGGCGTCGTCCAGGCGTTCTTCCATGCGGGTGCCCTGAAGCAAAAGATGGGGTTCGTGAGTAGGTGGTCTTCGGGCTGTGTGGAATCGAATACCAGGACCGTCTTTCACCTATCAGAGGCCCTGGGCACATTAGAATAATGGGGCCCCTATGACCATAATAAAGTACTATTTCCGTAGACCCAAAGTTTTAGCATTATTTTGACTTTTTCAATTCCAATAAAACTTGGCGTTTTTGTTGACAAGTCATTATATTTCATTATAATGTTTTTCTTCTATATTTCATATTTTCATTACATTGAACTATTATAAAGTACAACTTTAGTGCACCTTGCTCAATTTTTGAGATAATTATAATTCCAGTGCCGTTGCACTGATAATTGATATTCATAGTAAAAATCATTGTACGCCAAGGTTTCTTTTTCAATTCCGATAGAAGGTTCGTGCATTGCATAGATTAAATATGCAAATTGACTCTTTTTTCATTTTCCTGAGTTACAAGGACACTGCGCGCTAAATAGTGTGCAGAATGAAATAGTGTGAGAAATACATATATTTCGCGCACTGCATGTAAACTATATGAGATTTTTGATATTCGACTCATTTTTTCAAATCGGCTGCGCCTCGTTAAAAAAATCAGTTCTCGATCACCAGAGTAGCATTTCGCGCACTTGATACAAAAATAACTATATTAGAGCATACCATATTTTTTTCTGGATGATCAATTGTTTGGTTATCTTAAAATTGTGAGGGCATTAATCAAAATGAGCCAACAGTGGCGATAATATTTTACGAATCAACCATTATTATGTTATCTTTGAAATCGATTTGAAATCAGCAGGCACACAATAAATACAATGGAAAAATGGTTCATTGGAACTATTGGAAAAAATTCAGGACACTCCTGTGAAGTTATCTAGCTAATGGTGAAGAATTTTTCTAATATCTATTCAAAATCATGTACCTCATTTCTTGTTACTCAGTAAAAAAACTATATCCAAATTGGGTAATCTGTAATTAGTGCAGTGAACATTCTCATCATCCCAATTTGGCGGAATTCAAAGAAAACAAACAAAAAGCTATTCAAATACCATTGACCACAAACAAAAACAAACTCACCGTTGCCTCAACAGCATGTTCCCTTAAGAAGCCAATAGCATCATCTAAACGTTGCGCTTCAGGTGCAGGCTTCATCACACAAAAACAAAAAAAAATCATGCAAAAATAAAGTAATAAACATCAAATTTATATCATAATGCATTAATCAAAAATAAATTAAATTCAAGGCTTTCGCTCAGAATCGCAGAAGTGCAACAATCAATATTATTTACTTCATATATATTAAAAAATATAGTACACTGAACGGTAGATCTGGCAACACTGGCCAACACAGTAAAACAATCCCTTTTCTCCGTTACTGGCCATTTTGCAAAATGCCATCCTTTCATAATATGCCTATATTGTATGTAACGATTGGATAAAACATCTGTATATACAATGTACAATATACATATAAAATCTTACAACGGCAACAGCATCAAAATAAGAGGAACTTTTTGGCAAGGTTGGAAACTGCTCCCTTTCGACATTTTTCTGGATAGAAAAATTCCCTAGATGCCAATAGAGAATTGCAGATTACACGAGACCACGTTAATAGCCATTTAGTCGAAAGGATACTCATAATGTATAGTAGTTGAAGTAATAGATGCACCTTCGCCTTGCTATTATGTACTTAGAGCATTGAAACCAACAGGAGAGTGAGATGAATTACTATCAAAATTGCTGGATGTGTAAAAAGATAGAGAAGCTCCTGGTTACAACAAGTCAAAATCTAATTATTTTTATGAACTAGATGAGACAGAATATCACTAGACTAGAGAAAAGAATGCATCTCATTGCAATTTAACCATGGCAATCAAATAAGAAATATTTAAGAACACACAATCATGCAAATAATAACTGAAAATCGATAGTGTGATTTGGTGCATTTCCAGGGCTTCAGGATATTCTCCCTTTATTAGCAGATTCCTGCTCGTTGCCTCTCTATCTTTCGTTGATTTCATTGGTTCGTTCCCTCCACCTTTCTCATGGCGCGAAAAAGCTTCGAATTTTTTCACTTTCAACTTTAAATTTACACAGAGCGAGTCAGAATAAGATCGAAAAACTTGGATTTCAGTTTCTTCACCTCATTTTCAAGTGGAATGTTCTTATCAATGTGTTAAAACTTCCTGAGATGCAAGTTGTTAGAAGTTAGAAGTCAAAAAACGCAATAATTTGAAGTTTATATTTCAAATTCTGGTAAACCAGTAGCTTCAGTCGTGTCCGTTTCCTTAAAATTTTGCTTAGACAGGTGAGTGGACAAATCAGTTCTCAACATCAGTTAGGTTCATCGATGAACAGCAAAGGGGAGGTCCTACAAATAAATCTTGAGTAGAGACATCATCGATTGTCAAGATGCCATTATCTTATATGAAACCATCATCTCCTGCGATATAAGAAAGCATCAGAGTGGTGTGCTTCTTTCTTTCCAGTCGGTAAAACTACGTCGTCACGGCAACCACGAATCTAAATAGAACATCATGTCACCTGGTATGACTTTGAGATGACAGTTTCATATAGGTCGTAGAGTTGTCTCAATAAAAACAATTCATGCTCACAATACAATTGAAAAATCTGCCAGGAATCTTGAACTGGATCAAATTGCTTTAAGGTAATACCACTCATCCTGCGGACTCCTGGTGTTACCAAGCAATGATCTCGTCAATTCTTATGCAATTTCATTATTGGTCAGATAATCTCCCATTCCCACTCATGAAGCCACCAATTATAATCGAGTTATTGAAAAGTTGTTGGAGTTCTGTCGTTTATTAAAACAATATCCAAATTAAATATTTCATTTGACCTAACAGGAGAAAGTCATGATAATATAGTTAGTTAATTTGTGACTGTTTCGAGCAACCAGCTTGTTAAAATATCTCTTTTACTCCATAACAAAACATCATGTAAATGTTGGCTAGGCTAGACTTGGCAATGCTGTGCTAAACTCTGATAGCTGACAAGACAACGCCCACAATCCTGTGTTGTCACTTTTACCGGCCATATCTCCTGTAAGTGTGTATTAATATAATTATTATCAACACAAATTCATCATATGCAACAAGACACAATATATAATAGGAAAAATTACAGGACAATGGATTTTTGAAAGCTTACTGAGAAATACCAATACATAATTGAGTATTTATGAACTATTGAATAGTTACTGTTTCTGAAATTGCCATTCGTATTTCAACATATGGCAACTGTGTCTGTGTCCCTACTTACGAAATCTTGACATCAGTTTTCATCTGTGGTAGATTTCTAGCTGTTGCACTCATGATACTACCCATGATAATTTCCTACAACATATCGGTATATTCTTCAGCCACTTGAAAAGTTTTGGGTATCAAAAGAATTGAGATGAGAGGTAGGCACCTCAAAAAGGAGATTGTCGGTCTTATTCTGACTCATTCTGCCTCGCCATGTAGATATTTCTAGATCTCAGCTCACTACTCACTCGCAACCGCTCGCAACATAATCAACTGGCAGGGCCCCAGTACTCACCATGTGTAATCCCTGAGGAGCGACGGTATTATTTACAGTGACGGCTTGCGTATAGTGCGGCGAATGCGGAGTGCTGTGGTTGGTCAACCACCCTGTAGGTGCTATCGGGGGTGGCGAGCTGACCGGTGTGGATGGGGCCGAGCTGTAGCTGCTGGCGCTCGCCTGTTCAGCTGCTGGATATATCTATAACAGGAAGGTTGGTCAGTCATCAGGATGAGAGTAATGGGGAAAGTTTATAATTTTTCTGTACCTAGTTTGAGAAAAAATATTGAATAATAAGTATTTTTTATTCTTGTTGACGATCACATTCGTCTCGAAAATATTTGAAAAAGTACCAAGTTTCGAGGGAATTGATATAACCTAGACTGCTATGTATTGTCATCCCAACAACCTGCAAATTGCATGATGACAGGTCCTTTTGGTCCAGGAGCAATCAACGGTTAAGCTACACCTTAGACTCCTAGACTCTAGAGCATAGGACTAACACTATCATAAAAAATCACTTCCAACCTGAGATCAAGAGAATAGGGAGGTCTAGCTATCCGCCGGCGGAGATTCCTACAGTTTTCAATGGTGAAAAAAAACAAACAATAGCATCAGTCTGGCTCTTCAAACTATTGAAGATATAAAATATTCCAAATGGGTAGAGAATATCCAGACCCGTAGGTAGGTGGAAAGTGAGTGCCAGAAAAAGTGAAAGTTGCCTCCAAAACTGCACTGTATATGGTAAGATAATAGGGATGTATTCGATTTATCATCTTTCGATGCATCTGCAGAAAATCTGTCACACTCGCACTCAGATGGAAGGTTTTTCTAATCAGGAAAGGTGTTTTCACCAGAATTCTAGCCTGGCATTGACAGTTTTGCTTCATGTGAATGTACGAGCCCTGTCTCAGTGAAGTTGGCCCAACTTATCAACTAATACAATCCAGTGACTCTAAGCCCATTGCCCCAAATTCATCAAGTTCACTTCAACACGACATGTCGCAGCGACAATGGCTGCTTAACAAAATGAAATCCATATTTTACCCACTTTTGGGAAACACATTTTAATTTGTTTGTAACGTATTTTACCTTGATGTCGTTATTTTTAAACTGGACCAAAGATATTTTTATGGACGAATTTCCCTGTTAACCTGACGAGTACGCACTGCTGATGACTCAACAGTCGAAAGCGCTCTGCTACGAATATTGAATAAATTATCATGCACGAAATACAAATCTTCCCTTCTTTGGTATATATTCACGTGCACACAGCCCAGCAACCCTCACTCGTTTCTGATTTGCCTGGCTGGTATTGGAGCCCTAGAAGAGAAGGCGGTATGGAGGGTACTATCATCCGCGAAGCTGTGTACTGGACTTCCAACAAATCGTTGATATGGAGTAGAAATAGTGTTGGTGCTAGAATTGATCCTTGAACACCAGCATTCATGATAAGAGAGTCAGATGAAACTCCGTCGACCACTACATGGAGAGACCTGTTTGAGAGAAAACTAGCTAGCAGAGAACATAGCTGGGGAGGCAAGCCATAAGATGGAAGCTTGTCGAGGAGTCCGTGGTGCCAGACTCGATCGAATGCCTTGAAGATATCAAGTGCCACGGCTAAGGTTTCACCATATTTTTCGATAAATTGCTGCAATATATGTGAAACGTAAGCGAGCAGGTCACCATGCCGTTGATCTCTGAAGACGGAAGCCATATTGCCTATCGTTGATAATACCTGAATGTTCCAGGTATTTCATGAGCTCGATGTTGATAGCTTTCTCCATGATCTTTGAAATAATAGATAGCAGTGCGATCGGTTTGTAGTTGCTAGGTAGGGGCTTTTTGCCTTTTTTAGGAACTGGTTGTACTCTAGCAATTTTCCAGTTGGACGGGAATATCCCCAATTTGTAAGAGTAGTTGAACAACGTGCAGAGAAAAGGTGTTAGTTCGGGAGCACATTTCTTGAGAACAATCGGTGGGATTCCGTCGGAGCCACAAGCTTTGTTGGTGTTGAGACCCAATAAAATATTCCTTATAGTACGTTGGTGAAAGGTGATCTCGGGCATATGACTGTCAATTGGCGTTGTTTGCAGGTTGTTTTCCCGATGAATCCAGAGTGGAATTTCCAGCAAATAAATGCGCAAAAAATGTTGGCTTTCTCCTGGGCAATTGTGGCTAGTGTTCCTTGGTTAGAGGAAGTTTCTTCCTACAGCTTTGACAAATATTAAATATACAACATCACAATACTCACACCCGCCAAACCCTTGTTGACCGCCACCCCATCCTGATGACCGGCCGCCACGAAGGGCGGCGCACCCAGCATCGTCGCAGCAGCAGCGTTGGCGGTGGTGGTTGTAGGTGTGCCGCCCGGCCTTAGCGACGACATGGGCGGCAGCCCCTGGCCGGGCTCCACCTCGGGGATGAGTCCGTACGCCTCGTACGTCTGGTAGGGGTATGCGTGGGGTGGCCATTCGCCGCCCGCCGGGCTCGGGCCGCCGCCGCCGCCCTCGGGACCGATGTAGTAGCCGGCGCCGGCGCCGGGCGACGTGTATCTGGGGGATTCGTGGGCGAACTCGTCGGAGCCATACTGGAATTGAAAAGGATCG